AATTGATTGATATATATAATATTATAAGTTTTAATAAAGTAAAAAAATTAATTATTAAATAATATAATATTAAAATTTTAATATTTTAAATAATCCATTTCAATCAAATTACTAATTTGAAATTTTAATCTCCTGCCTTTTATAATTATTCCAATTTTAATTAAAGTTGTGGATTTCTTTAAACACAGATAAGTTTGTCCAAATAAGTAGGAAAGGTCTCGTCTTTGAGAGGCAGAGGGTGGTGGGCAATCTGACTACCCAAATGGCGCGGATTTGTGCGGGCAAATACTGCAATTTTCTGCCCCTTAACCGTCCAACTGTCAGATTAGCTTCGTACAGTTAGTTCGGCCCTCACGTGATGTACACACACTAGTACTCGGTGGAATACAGAGGCACGTGAAGTTTACGCAAACAGTTAGCGCCTTATTTTCTTTTCGACAATTTTTTTAATTTTATTATTATTATTATTATTAATTTTTTTTTCTTTGGGTGTTGAATCAATCAATGTTTCATGGGATTTTTCTTCTTCAGACAACTGAACCCCACGGAACAGAACACTCAAAACTGATCTGATCTGCTCCTTTTCCATAGCCAAACCCAGTCCACTTGGTTCCTCCACGCTGTCTTTTCTTCTCCCACCCCATTAGTCTTTTCTTTTTCTTCCACTTCATGTTTTTTCCATGCAATTTCACGTTAAAGCCGGACCTTTTGTGTCCTTTTCCTTTGCATAAAGGAGTGTCTAAAATTTCAAATTTATTGTCTGAATCTTTCCGTGCTTTGTTGCAAAAAACAGAGAATATATAAGAAGTGGGATAGTGATATAAAAATACTAAATTAATGTAAAGGAATAAAGTAAAGTTCTATTAAACTGTAATTAAAAAATTATTTTTGAATCATTTTTTATAATAATTAAGTCTAAGATCAAAATTTTTCTTTTTCTGAAAATAGGCAATGGGTCAGAGTTGAATAATTTGGTAGTTCTTGATCCTGTGATGGACCAGAGCTTTAATTAACAAAAAGTGAATTTTCTGGTACAAATGTTAATTCATCGTGCGTGACTATATTAAATCCATGCTAACTGCCTAGCATATTTCAATTCCATGTCGTTGGATCCAAGTTCTTAAACTACATGGCTATTGGCCTCTACTCTCCAATGATTTATGTATAACGCTTTTAAATACGAAAAGTTTTATAAATTTATCCATGACTTTAACATAAAAGAAGTCAATAAGAGAACGTCACATTACACACTATACAAGATATCAAACTTAAAAATATCATACTTGGAGCATTTTTATTTGAACTAATTTTTCTATGATATATTGAAGGGTTAATTATTTGATAATAT